ACCTGAGCATGTGCCCTGACTGGGAATCAAACCATGACCTCCTGGTTCATAGGTTGATGATGAACATCTGAACCAAGCTGCTGGGCAAGTTTTCATTATTCTTAACATATCAAGGGTTAATATAGTTAATTAGAAATTAAGCCTTCAAAGAAAAACAGGCATAGACGCCACACCATTCAGAAAATAGGTAACTCATTAAAGGAGGAAACACAGTAAAAGAAGAAAGACTAATAACTGAAAAATAATTCAAATCTCAACGGCAATAAAAAAAAAAAAGGCAAATGAAACAACAAAGAGGTACATCCTTTTGCTCTTAGCCAAGATATCTAAGTTGATACCACTCGTTACTTTTAGAATGTGTTGAGGTAACTCTCACACTAATGCTATGAGGTGATTTCCTATTAATCAGTCCATTCTATAGATGTGGAAACTGAGACTCAGCCGACTTCAGTAATTTGCCCGAGCTTATACTGCTAGTAAGTGGTGGCACCAGGCTTGGAACTGTGGGCTATGCGACTCACTATGATGAGACCAGGAAGGAGAGGTGAAGGACAGGGGGAAATATATCTTAAAGAGCCAGGCAAATATATCTGAAGTGCCGATATGGCAGGGCCAATATGGTGTTGCAGAAGGAAGCAACAAATGGAAATTACCCAAAGGACCACCACTCTTTTTAAAGCAGGAACAGTCCTAAAGGACTAGAGGGATCCAGGAAGGCATGAGCACACCCAGGAGTTCCTCTGTCTGATCCTCCCGGCAGGCAGTGGGAGGAGGGGGAATGTGTGTGGGGGGAGGGGGTTGGTGGTCTCATCTTCTAGAGAGGTGGCCAAGTCAGTGTCTTGGTAGTTTTCTGCTCGTTTTCCCCTGAAGACAGCTAACGGACCCCATCCCTTCCTCCTGGGCCGAGTGACCAGCAGGTAGCCCAGCCTGACTTCAGTGCCCTCCCACAGCCCCAATCCCGGCCAGCAAGAAGCCGGAGCTTGCCGAACTGTGTGGGCCAGGCAGGAGGAGGGAGAGCTGGAGGGGCCCATCTGAGTTCTCTTTGCCCTTTCCTGGAGGCTTGTTCCTCCGTGAGAGATGAGGAGGGCTGGGCAGGCGAGAGAAGGCGGTCCAGGCATTTTGGAGAGCTAGGAAACAGATGAAACGGAGTTATAAATGAAAGGAGAGTGACAAATATATTTTAGTTGTAGTTTGGCAAAGATATCTTCATTTACAAAGTCCTTGGGGAATCCACTACTTTTTTTTTTTTTAAATCCTCATTTGAGGAGTGAGGATATTTTTTCCATTGATTCTAGAGAGTGGAAGGGAAAGGGGAGGAGAAAGGAAGGGTGGAGGGAGAGAAAGAGAGAGAAACCTCCATGTGACAGAGACACTTTGACTGGTTGCCTCCTACATGCTCCCCAAACGGGTGGGGATCAGACCTGCAACCCAGGTAAGTGCCCTTGATCTGGAATTGAAACCTCCACCCTCCAGTGCGCAAGCCTATGCTCTAATCACTGAGCAACACTGGCCAGGGCAGGAAATCTATTCTTAAAAGTGGGGGCTTCATCCTGACTCTGTGACCTGAGGTAAATCTGTTTAACCCTTTTTTAAACCTCAGTATCTTTATCTGTAAAAGGGATATAAAAAATACTTCCTGCTTAGCTTCAAATGGATGTAGGGCTCAGATGACCAACAATCTAGTATGGGGGCAAATTGCCACAGGCAGTATTATCACTCAGACCTGAGTTCGAGTCCTGTCTCTGCAATTTTCCCATTGGAGACTTGGGGAAAATTACTCAGCCTCTCTCTGCTTTAGTTTCCTCATCAGTGAAACTGAGGGTAGCAATCCCAGCTGCCTTAAATGGTTGTCTCTTGGGGTAAATGAGATAATACATATAAACGGTAGAACCAGTTTGCCAAAGCCCACAGGTTTAGCCATTATTCTACAGTTGCCTCACAACCATATTACGTATAAAACAGCAACACATAGTGTAGAGAAAAGACTGGAAGGAAATACAAGTTGTGAGCAGTTTTTGTTTCTGGTTAGTGCAGCTATGATTTATTTTTTATTTTTAAAATATATTTTATTTTAAAATATATTTTATTGATTTTTTACAGAGAGGAAGGGAAAGGGATAGTTAGAAACAGCGCCTGCAACCAAGGTACATGCCCTTGACCGGAATCGAACCTGAGATCCTTCAGTCTGGAGGCCAATGCTCTATCCACTGAGCCAAACCAGTTAGGGCATATTTTTATTTTTTTCCTTTATATTTTCTGTATTTTCCATATTACTTTTAGAACCAGGAAAGAAGGCTGTATATGTTGTGCAGATGCTTGCAGATCATTTGTGATGGTCTCCACTGCATTACAATCTTAGACAACATTTTCTCCTGTTTGAAGCAAGAATCATTATCCCATTTTCTTGATGAGGACATGAGGCTAAGAGAGGCAAGAGAGCTGGCTCAAACTTCAGGTCTCATTGCTGCTGAGTGGCAGAAAGCCAAGATCCACAGGCAGATCTGTCCCAACGCGAGGTGCTGTGCACAGGGATTCTGGAGCGGGGCTGTGTGCCAAGGACTCCTCCACCCCAGTCATATGATTGTAGAGTTAAGGTGGGAGGTTGTCAGGATGGGGCCTGTGGCGGATGTGGTCCCATAGGTCTCTTGTACTGGTTTCTTACATCCTTATTCCTGGTGGAGGACATGGCCTGCAAAGTGGGGATTTTGGCATCTTCCTCTCACAGCACAGGAAGTCAGGCAGTATGATGGAGAGTCTCAAGAAGAAATAAAGGCTTCCAGTAAAAAGGTATTCTGTAAAAATAAATAAATAAATAAATAAAATAAAAAGGTATTCTGTAGAGCCATGGTCGGCAAACTTTGGCTCCTGAGCCACATGTAGTTCTTTGGCCCCTTGGTGTGGCTCTTCCACAAAATACCGCATCCTGGGCGAGTCTATTTTGAAGACGTGGCGTTAGAAGAAGTTTAAGTTTAAAAAATGTGGCTCTCAAAAGAAATTTCAATCATCGTGCTGTTGATGTTTGGCTCTGTTGACTAATTAGTTTGCCATAGAGGAATTAAAAATAATAGCTTAACTATATAAGACTGAGAACGGGAAGTGAGTGTGAGAGCATTAAATCATAGCAAGAAGACAACAGATAATGGCCAGTCCTGCTAAATCCAAATATAGCTATATAAGCATTTTATATAAAGATACAGAGGTAACCACAAGACCTACACACCAATGGCTGTAAGTGCTATCCCTGATTCCAGGGGTGGGGAGGGAGTTTTTGCTTTTCATCATAAGCACTCATGTCCAATTTGATTTTTAAAATGCTGTATATGTGTGTGTTGCATTGCCTTTCCCCCCTTTTAAGTACAGGCTCTGAAAGTAAAAAAAAAAAAAAAAAAGTTCAGGCTTTGGGGTCATTTTGGTGAATTCAAACCCTTCCCCAGCCAGTTAAGGACCTTGGGCAGCATAATCTCTCTAAATTGCAATTTTTATCTTCTAGAAAAACAAGGCATGAAAATCATTTACCCACCAGGTTACTCCAAAACGAGGTGATGCTCACCAAGAGCACAAACGAATACTGGCTGGGATTCAGCATCTGTCATTGGTAACAACTGTTACCACTAATAACAATTAAGTCACGCGTGCAAGTTATACGCAGGGCTTTGCACATAGTAGGCGCTTACGGGGTGACAGTAATAGTTTAACCCTCCACCAGAGCCTATAATTTCCCCTCAACTCGTGACGGCTGAGCTCCAGCGCTAGGAGGGAATACTTAAAATATTGATGTGGTTACTCATTTATTCATCACTCTGTCCTCTGAGTGTCCGCCGAGGGCGAGCCCAGCTCTCTCCGGCCTTGGGCGCCGCCTCCGCGGCCCCCTCCCGCACGGAGGTTGCAGGCAGCGGCAGCTCCCCTGCTTCAGGTCACCGAAGCGGGACCGTCATGCTGAGAAGCGGGAATTAATTGCTTCTGGTTCCAGCCGGGGCTCTTCCCGGGCGAAGGCGGGCAGGAGGAGGGGGAGCGGGGCTCAGGATGAGAAGGGCAGCCAGCCGAAACCGGTTTGGCTCAGTGGATAGAGCATCGGCCTGCGGACTGAAAGGTCCCAGTTCCATTCCGGTCAGGGACATGTACCTTGGTTGTGGGCACATCCCCAATAGGGGGTGTGCAGGAGGCAGCTGATCGATGATTCTCTCTCATCGATGTTTCTAACTCTCTGTACCTCTCTCTTCTTCTCTGTAAAAAAATCAATAAAATATATTTTTTTTTAAAAAGAGGAGAAGGGCAGCCAAGACTCGCATCTCCCGCACAAGCCTGCGCCAAGGGGATGGTCCTCCCCAGAGGAGCGGGATGATCCTTCCCAGAAGGGCGGGATGATCCTCCCCAGAAGGGCGGGATGGTCCTCCCCAGAGGGGCGGGCAGGGCCCGGGCAGTGTGATTGCGATTGCTAGGACCTGCCCAGGGAAGATGTGGGATTGGCGGGGGGGACGCGGAGCGGGCATTTCCGAACCCGCCAAGGATGTCGCGCGCTGGCCTGGAGCTGGCGCCCCGGTCGGGGGCGTGGCCTGATGGAGCCCGGCCGGGGCGTGGCCTGACGGAGCCCCGCCCACCGCTCTGCGGAGGCCGCGCGCCCCGCCGCTGCTCCAGCTCCGCGCGCACGCGACTCTGCGGCGGCTCCTCCTCGCGGACGCGGGGCCACGCTCCGCATCCCTGCCGCACCGCGGCGCGGGGCGGACCGGGGGCCGCGGGGCGGGGCGGGGCGAGGGGCGGGGCGCGGGCAGCGGGGCGCTGACGTCGCGGCGGCGGGCGGGCGGCCGGGGAGGTGGGGCGGCGGGAGGCGGCCGTTTGGGCTCAGCCCATCCCGCAGCTGCAGCGGCGGCAGCCGGAGAGCGGGCGGCGGCGGTGCTCCGAGCCGGCTCCTGACGGCCCCCGCCGCTGCCCAGCCCTCCGCTGCGTCCCGGCGGGTCCGCCGGGTGGGGCCCGCCTCGCCCGCCGCCGCGGCTCCCGCTGGCATGGCCCTGGTGCAGGGCGCCGAGCCCGCGGCGGGGCCCTCCCGCTGGCTCCCCACGCACGTCCAGGTGACGGTGCTGCGGGCCCGCGGGCTGCGGGGCAAGAGCTCGGGCGCGGGCAGCACCAGCGACGCGTACACGGTGATCCAGGTGGGCCGCGAGAAGTACAGCACGTCGGTGGTGGAGAAGACCCCGGGCTGCCCCGAGTGGCGCGAGGAGTGCTCCTTCGAGCTGCCGCCCGGCGCCCTGGACAGCCTGCTGCGGGCGCAGGAGGCGGACGCCGGCCCGGCGGCGCCCTGGGCCGCGGGCGCGGCCGCCTGCGAGCTGGTGCTCACCACCATGCACCGCTCGCTCATCGGCGTCGACAAATTCCTGGGCCAGGCCACCGTGGCGCTGGACGAGGTCTTCGGCGCGGGCCGCGCCCAGCACACACAGTGAGCGAGGGGCGCGGGGCGCAAACGGCTGAAGGCCTGGGGGGCGGCGGGGGTGGGGAGGGAGAGCTGGACCCGAACCACCGCCGCCGGGGTGGTGCGCCCTCTGCTTCGAGCTCTAGGGCGCAGACCGACCCGTTGGCTCTAAAGCATTTCGAGGGGGGCCCGTTGCCCATTCCTAAACGTGCTGCTGCTGGGTGGGCATTGGGAGGCCCCGGGAGGCGTGAATGGGGGCCTAGCGTCCGTTGTACATTGTCCAGTAACCTTAGGAGTGGGGTCCAGAGGTTCTTGGACTGTGGGAGGGAGCCTCAAGAAGGAAGATCTCGAGGCCATTCTTTAGGGCCTCGGTTTTGTCTCCCTTTCCTGGAAGGGGAGGAAAACTGCAGGCACCTGACCCAAGCCAGCCAGGCCCTCAGGGGAAGGGAGGGAATGGAGAGGTGCTGTCTCACCCTGTGGGGGAAGGAAGGGGCAGTGTCCTCCAGGTGCCCCCCCCCCCTCCTCTCCTCCTCTAGACCTAGAAACTGCGAGGGCATCTGCTTCTTGTCTGGAACTGGGATGTCCTCTGCCACCTAGAGACACCCCTCGGACCCTGTCCCTCCGTGCCCCTGGCCTGAACACCAGAGTTCCTCCACAAAAAGCGAGGAAACGCTTGAATCAGTCTTCAGGCTCCTGCCTGTCCTGCCCGAGGTGGAACCAGCAGCGTGATTCATGCACTCTGGGGATAATCTCCCAGTCACTTCCACCTAGAAGGGCCAGTGAGGGTTTTTTTTTTTTTTTTTTCATTTATTTTGGCAGCGTTTAACCTTCCCTGTGTGAAGATCAAGGCTTCAGACTGGGAGCCTCATTTCCTATTTTGGGTGGGGGCAGTGTCTGGAGGCCAGTCCCCCAGGGCTGGCGACCTGCTGTGGGTCACTCATCCGCTGGGGCGACACCTCCCCTGAGCCTCGGGCCCCGGGTGGGGAGGATGAGGGGATGAGGGCAGGGGTGTGCCATGGGTGCCGGAGTGGCATGGCATCCGGGGGAGTTAATGTAGGAAGGCTTGCTGGAGGAGACTGATGAGCCTGGTGCAGACCCAAAGGAAAGCAGGCGTTGGCTGGAAAAGGATCTGACCTTGAACATTTTTTCCATGTGTGGGTAGGGTAGGGTCTTCACGGCTCTTAGTGGCCTGGGGTGGGAAGCACAGGGCAGGCTCCCCGCAGGCCTGACCTGGCTCCACGGCCCCCTCCCCTGGCCTTCCCTCCTTCCCCCATGACTTGCTGTTTGGTTACTGGGCGTGGGATCATGTGGCATAGCCTGGCCCGTGGTTTGTTTTCATTTTTCCTCACTTTTTCTGTCCTCTCCCTCCTTCCAGGCCGGCCTAGGGAGCCTAAGGGGGTGGGGCTGGGGCTGAAAACTCTCCCCTGGATCTCTTCCGCTCTTTCTTTTTTCTGGAGAGGCTCTCCTGTCCCCAAATTCTTCCCGTTCCTTTATTTCTTAGCCCCTCAACCTCCACCTCACAGCTGATCTCACCAGGCTGGCAGATGACACATCGGGGGACACACAGGAGCCTCTAGACTTATAGGGAGGGGCTTCTGTGAGGCCAGTGACGTGGGGAGGGGCCTTTGTTACTCCTCCCTACCCCCCAACTCCCCCAGTTCCTGCCCTTGCTTTCTTCTTGGGCTGTGGATCTGACTCAGCTGAGCTGCTTGTGCCTTAGGCCCAGGTGGGCCTGTTTCAGCCAAGGACAGTTCCCCTTGGAGAATTTGACTTGCTACCCCTTGATCAGAATGGGAGCCTTAATTGACTTTATGAAAGTCCTCTTTGCACCAGGATCCTTCCGCACCCGACCCGCTGCCTTTCCTCAGATGTATTGACCTGGATTATTTATAGAACCCGGAGGGGGCAGGGAGGAGAGAGACTTGCGGTGGGCAGAGGAAAAGTCTGTGGAACTGGCCCAATCTCCTAGTCCACTGGACCTCACAGCGTGCCCACCAACAGAAGGTGAGGACTGCTGCCCCCCTTCTGGTCCCCACCTCCCTCCTCTGGCTCTAATGGCTGTTCCTGGTGGCCTTCCCCGGAGCACTCTGGTGCGGGCTGCTGAGACAGTGAGTCTGCACATTGCCCGCTGGGCAGAGGGCAAGATGGAGAGGACCAGGGTTTACCCTCCTCAGATTTGGATAATGATGGAAAAGAACAGTATCACACTTTAACTTCAGAAACTAGATGTGGTGGCCAAGACAGGACCAGGCTGGGGAAGGGCAGCCTCATGGTTAAGAGGAGGGGCCTGTGGGATGGCATAGCCCAGATTCCAGTCCCAGATCTGCCAGCTTCCGGCCAGTGAGGTAAACTCTTGGTGCCTTAGTTTTCTCATCTGCCAAATGGGGCTAATCAGCACTTTCACAGGGTTGATGTAAGAAGAGAAATGCGGATGCAGTTAAAAGTATCTGGTGCAGCTCCTGGACATGGTTGGTGCACAGTGTCTGGCAGCTTTGATCCCCTCCCCTGGAAGAGCCTCTCCAGTGATGGGGAAGACGATATAGGATCAGAGCCTAGGAAAGACCGGATGGCAGGGACGTGCAGAAGTGTGAGAGCTCCTGATAAAACTGGCTGGCCCTTCGCAGCCCCCACCATTCTCTTTACTGACGGACGTGGAGAACTAGGGCCGGCTGGGGGCCTGCAGTCTTGAAGCCAGGCGTGGATCAGCCTGCGGCTCTCTGCCCAGCACCTTTCCGGAAAGGCAGGACAGCACAGGGTGTAAGAGACTGGGCTTTCACTCCCACTTCTGTGACTTCCTAGCAGGCAAGTTACTTAACCTGTTTCCGCATTTCTACAAAGGCCATGATATAAATGAGATAGCATCTAACCAAGCAAGTTTTCAAAATATTAGTGTTGAGATTTCTCTCAGGGCCCTGCTTTGTGCGATGATGGTGAAGATAGTGGTGGGCGGAGTGCTAGACACCTCATCAGCCCCCAAAGATCCTTTGCCAGTGGGATATTCTTTAAGGTGAGGGATTTCACTGGAGACTTTCCAAGTAATTAAATTCTCAAAACAAAATTTAACGTGATACACAAGGAGATTGGTTATAACCCTTTCCCCTTAGTAAAGCCACACGTGAGTCATGGTTCTGAAAACCCTGAGATGCTTCCCAGTCACTTCCTTTCTGGCTTTTGCCTTCTGCACCCTTCCCAGTGCTCTCCAGTGGGTGCTCTGTGTGGCCCTGCCTTAACGAACCCCTGCTGTGCGGCTCAGTCATCCCATACACCAAAAGGTGGCGGGTTTAATCCCTGTCAGGGCACATACCCTGGTAGTGGGTTCGATCCTGCTTGGGGTGCATGTGGGAGGTAACCAATGAATGTTTCTCTCTCTCTCTCTCTCTCTCTCTCTCTCTCTCTCTCTCTCTCTCTCTCTCTCTCTCTCTCTCTTCCTCTCTTAAAAAAAAAGCCCCTGTCCTGGGCTTGTTGGGTCAGTGGTTAGATAACATAGGGCTTAGGACCTAGGAAAGACTGTGGATGGCAGGGTACGTGCAGAAGTATGAGAGCTCCTGGTAAAATTGGAGCCGGCCCCATGGGGAAGTTGAGGCGGCGGGCCCCACATGGGTTGGGACCAGTTTTTCTTTCTTCATTCGTAAGAGTAAAGCTGTAGTGACCATGTACAGGCTGCTGACTGTGGTCCCTACGAGGCTCTGTCAGCTCTGGTCAGACAGGCGTTGGTTTTCAGACTGTGGCCGAGGAGGCCTTCTGGCCTGAGATCTCTTGAGGGTGGGTTTAGGGCCACTGGAGAGGCACCCTAAGGAAAATGCAGGCTGTTGGCCTCAGGTTGGGTGGTCTTTGAGGGCATCCACCTGTCCCTTGGCCTCCAGATGCCAGGCAGAACACTGTTGTGGGCAGATGGCACATGACCCCACTGCCTTCTCTCCAGATGTGACTGCTCCCCAGGAAGCAGCTGAAGCCACAAGTGTCCTTGGTTTCCGTGGCTCCTGTTCCAGCTCCAGACCCAGAGCTGGAGACCGTGGGACTGCCTGGGAAGTCAGCTCTGGCTGCCAGGGAAGGGTGTGGCTGTGCTGAGAAGCCAGTTATTAGGACACAGGAGGCTCCATCTCCTTAGTTATGGGGCAGTTTTATGTGGGGTTGCTTGAGCAGCAGTGTCTGGGCGAGTGGGGAGGGCTAGGAAGTGAGTCCCTGTCAGACTGGGCGGCTCCTGCAGGCTGGCACAGCAGCTTTCCCTTCCCCTGCATCTGGCACTGGGTGGGACCCATCTCTCCATGTTCTCCCTGCCGCGGGCAGCCAGGGACAGGCACAGCTTAGCAGAGGCTCCGTCCCAAGTGCCTGGAGGGCTGTCCTTCCTGTGCTGGGGCTGCCCAGTGCATCTATTATTGCTGCATTGATCCTGGTGTTGACTCTCTCGCCTTGTCCAGATGTTTCCCCTGCCCTCCCCACCCTGCTCAGGGACAGATGGTTAACACAGCGAGGGGGGAATCTGTGTATTCTCCGGCATTCAGTCCTCTTTTTCTTCTTGTCCTTTGCAAAATGATGTGATCATGAAGAAGCGTCGCCCTGTCCTGGCCGTTTGGTTGGAGGGTTGTCCCATGCACCAAAAGATTGCGGGTTCGATTCCTGGTCAGGGCACACACCTAGGTTGTGGGTTCTATCCCCAGTTGGGACGCATACAAGAGGCAGCTGATGGATGTTTCTCTTTCACATCGGTGTGTCTTGTTCTCTCTCTCTCCCTTTTCTCTTTCTAAAACCAATTTAAAAAACATATCCTCCATGAAGATTAAAAAAAAGAAATAAGTGGAAGAAGAAGCTTTTCCCTTCCTCACAGCCAAGTGATAAAAATAAGTCCACAGTGTGGACGGTCGGCAGTGTCTGGGATAAGTCTGATCACTTTGCTTCTTCCTGAGCTGGCTGAGGCCCCCTTAGGTTCTTTCTTCCTCAGGAATGGTGGCCACCAGACAGGAGAGCTGGGCTGAGCAGGTCAGTCTGAGGCCTGGAGTGTAGGACTGGCCCAGCCCTCATACCGTTGA